AATATAAACAAGGGAATGTGCGGACTATTTCTATTTTTCTCGTGCTCTCTTATCTAATGACATTCAATTACTTTATTGAATTGTCAGGTATCCTCTTACGGTCCCATATAACAACTTTTGGTCTTGGAAGGAATTATTAGTGTGCAGAAATTTGGCCGTGTATCTGTTATCACTCGTCACATCAGTCAGTTATATAGAGAGATGTCTCGTGTTTTCCTTTGGCGTTCCTCACTTCCGATTCAGGAAACCTGTATTACTCAGCTATCGTAGCAATGATCTCTGTGATAAAGTTATATTTGGAACGTGTTTAATTAGTTCTATCACATATTTGATAATGGCTGGCACCAATATTGTCATTTAAAGGAGCTATAAATCGCTATAGTTCGGCACCTAGAAATGGACACAAATGGGTCGCAACGCCTATAATAATGTAATATGAATATATATAAACTGATTTACATTCAATTGTTTCTATTTGTACGTTTCTATTTCTAATAGGTTACGTTCGGCGAAACACGCGAAGAATCCAAATTGAATGGCAGAGTTTGGTGTCTGGTTATTCCAGTCTACACTGCTAGTATTTCCCTGTGGGGCATGTTTAGTCTCGTTCATCGGGTCGCTTCATTACAAATGGCACTCGAAAGCATTCTGGCACGCGAATCGCGTGCCAATTTTAAAATTTTCATATCAGGCGCCCATCTTTTTACGGTAAGATAACAACATCGATGTTGACTTTAATTGACATAATAAGTCGTGTTTGCAACGTCAAAGACTGTGGATGTGGATGGTATTGAGTTACGGACTTGCTCCTTTCAATTTTGTTTCTAAGAATACAAAATGTATAACAGGATCAGGAGTGATAATTCTGTATAACTTTATAAGAAAAAGACCTAAATCCGTGATTAAGTAAAATTTGGTGAAGGTATAAAACGGACGGCGCATAGCAAAAAGACTGACGATCACGAGAGTAATATTAAGGCAGCGTCTAAGACTTTAGTCCAGATTATTTTGTCTTCGACTTGCGAGATTAAACATGCATAATACGAGAGCTAAATCTGCCTATTGCAGGTCTTTCTTTAGGCCTGAAATGATATCTAAATTATTAATTAGACATTAAACATACATTCTCCAAGCGCTAAATCTGCCTATTGCAGGTCTTTCTTTAGGCCTGAAATGTTATTTAAACTATTAATTACACATTTATTAACAAAACAAGACCATAATCAACTCTCGATGGCACCGGATACTCGCGATTTTAACTACATTAGAACGGTTCGCCATTTAAAAATTTAATTTAAAAATGGGAAAGCGAGGCTAAGTCGCGAATATACCAGTGCGCTAGTTATCACTATGCACACATCTTGTCAAAACAATAAACAGTGATAATTTGGCCCAGAATGAAGTAATTTGTCTGAAATTTTCAATATTTTATTTTTTCATCATCTATTTTTGAATTATTATAGCAAGAATGACCAACTCTATATTAAACTCTTAACTAATGTACCTTTAATTAACTTATCCAGACCATTATCAACCCTCGATGCCATCGGATAGCCCCGATTTTAAGTAGATTTGAACGGTTTGGCCATTTAATGATTTAATTTAAAAATGGAGTAATGAGGCTAAGACTCGAATTACCAGTATGGTAAGTTACGATCAATATACACATCTGGTCAAAACTACAACCATTGATAACTTCGCTAAAAATAAAGTAATTTTAATGAAAGTTTCAATATATTCATTTTGCATTATCTATGTTTGAAATAATATAGCGAGCACGACCAGCTCTTTATCTAAACCTTACATTATGTCCCTTTTTGGCCACCAATTCCCTAACAACAACAAGGCTAATCTGTACTCACGATTGACTCACTAAGCAATTCACAACTCATTCAAATGTCATATCTTTCCGGCGTGGTTTCCCCTTGTCAGTGATGCAGAACTAAGGGCCTGGCAAGCACAGCTGTCTAGTCGTTCGGATGGGACGAAAAACCGAGGCCCCGTTTACACATTGGCATGCACGTGAAAGATCCCTTGGCAGTTGGCATTCGGTATAAGAGTAGGCCGTAGCGCCGCTACCCGGGCAAAATTGCCCTCATAGCACACTGTATTGATTAATTTGATACATTAAAACAACAAAAGTTTTATAAAGGATTATATTGTAAGTTAAAAAGGCGAAAAATTTTGAGTAAATTCTTAACTTTAGTCTAAGAATTTGGCAAGCGGAATTTTTCCCATCCGTATCACGTATCCGTATCGTTACGTGATACGTTGGGTCAATGTAGTTTTCTAGAGTTTGGGCAGATTTTTGCGTCGCGTATAACGTATGAGTTACCGAGTTGAGTTTAGTTCTATCACAGCATGATCACAGCCTACAAATTACTGGAGGGAGTGAAGTCAGACAGACAGACCAGAAAAATATGAAATTCCGAGAAAAACTCATCAAAAATAATGATTAAATTCCAGTCTTTATAATGGTTAAAATCACATCAAATACACCTTCGTGTTCTAGGATACACATAGATTCATAAAATAGCTATTGCACAACGTTTCAGCGTCTAAAAGTAGCAAAAAAGACGGCGATCTTTTACGGATTTTTTCCGTGTGAAAGCTGTTTGATACGTGTTGTCGAATCCGTGTGCCGTGACACGTATGAGAAATACACACATATTGATGACGGATACGCGATACGGACCTGGAATTTACGCTTGCCAAAAGTCTCTATTGTTATTTTCAAGTACCGTAAAGATATCAGAATCTGAATCCCCGATAGAATGACACAAATTTCAATTTTATTTGTAACCGATGCTTCCATTATACTCTTCGTTCACTTTAGAGCATTTTGGCTCTGGAATATGAAGCAAATGGCGGACCGTTTTCTCACTCGAGAATCGTCGCTCATCGACTCGAACTTTCGTTTCCGACAAATGGTGATAGTACAAATTGAAATAGAAATATCCGATTGGGCATGCTTGTATATTTTACATGACGTATGAATTTAATTATCAAGATATTTAATTCTCTTCGAAAAGAACTGTCCGCCATTTTTTTAAAGACGAAACATCAAATAATCATCGTTTGGATAAACGTTAGGAGTGGGCTTTACAATAGGCAATTATCAATCAACTAATCATAGAAACACTCCAGATTATCAGCGAGTTGATTAATTTTTAGTATGCCCGCCACGTGAGTGACACTCAATGTAATGGTTAATCAAGGATACGATTAGAATTTAAGATTTTTTTCCGCCAGTTCGCAAAAAGACTCGCCAGTACCGCAAAATGTTATCGCCAAAAGTATCGCCAAAATCAAATTTTAATCACCACTTTGATATTTTTATCGCAAATTGCGACTTTGGCGACCAACAGCGTGAGCCTTGCGTGTTAGTAATGAAAATTGCGTATTTTTTATCATGACGTATTTTTGGTAATACGCATTTACATAATATCGGGATTATCATAATCCCTCATAGCACACTGTATGGCCTATATCCGTCTTCACTAGCCCAGAAAAGTAGGACGCTCATCCCCATTGCATTTCATTGCTTACAATTTTGTTGTATTCTATTAAATACCTAACACAGAATTAACATGACCGAATGGTTAGCGTGTGCGCAAGGTATCATGCGATCTGTCATTGAGTCAACTATCGTGGTTTCGATTCTGTACGTGACAAAGAGTAGGATCGCCTGTCCAACCTCGTGGGTTTTCTCCCGAGCCTCCGGTTTCCTCCAACTGCTAAAGGACCCCTTTTCGCAAACAAATTATTGAAATAAAATAAAACCATATGTTAGTCCCGAAATGACCTAGTTTGTGTCGAGTGGACGTTAAACCCAATCGCTCTCTCTCTCTGTTTATATTTCCTTCCCGTGTACAAACAGTGTGATCTGATGATATATTTGGACTAAAACATATTTAAACTAAATCAAACGTTAACTTCAAATCCCCCTCAAAACATTTTTAATTCAAGACAACAACTATCCTATGATGCAAGAAACCACGCCAGTTGACTCAATGACAGACCTTATGATACAGCACACGCGTGATATAGGCAATACGATCTATGTTCTTCCGGAACGCTCGATATATAGCCAGACATTCATTGTGGGGGGGGGGGGGGGGTGTTGTGGATGGCGCCCTAGATTTGGAACCGCTCCCTTTCCTATTCCCAGTTTCGAAATTCGCTCCCGAAAACAACTACCCCGACCCCTTGAAATGTGTACATTTATCAGGCTATGTAAAAAGACGAATTATAGGGGCTAAATCTCAAAATGTTTCATAAGAAAGTAAAATATTAGTCCATTTTAGTCGATAATGACGTCATCTTACCGTGTACATTTGTAATATCTAATATTTAAGACACAGCGAACAATTCACAATCAGTACGGTAGCCTACAAAAATCGTGTATTTTATGGTTTCGGACGCCATTTATAATAAACAAAGAAGAACATATCCTACACGGCAATGCGGAAGTAATTAGTAATCTCTGATTTTTAAATGATAAAATATTAATAAAGGAAACGTGTCAAATGGATTAAGAAGGCGTAATCGACGGAAGTAAAATGGGGTTTAACGTCCTACTCCAACAGAAATGATTAGAAGATACAATAAATATTTTTGAAAATTGAATATAAATCACTTTATTGATTTTGATTTAAACAATATTTTATTCACAAACGAATAGGATTGAGCAACAGGCTTGAAGCCTATATCAGCTCTTTCCATAGATACAAAGGTATAATGAAGAAGGGTATGTTATTTACAAAATATCTTTAAAGAATGTACCGTTAGATTTAAAGAACATATCACTTTATATACATTAATATTACATAAATATGTTCTTTTAGACCAATTTTCGTCTATTTTAAGGTTCAAACGGATAGACCTATCTCAAAAGACAAATAAAACACATAAACTTAATGAAATCTGTATAGTTCATTTTTGATCCACTAAACACATAAACTTAATGAAATCTGTATAGTTCATTTTTGATCCACTAAAGTTTTTTTTTCCTTTTAAGGCAAGCAGTTGTCCACCCACGTCTCGTTACAATACGATGGCGACTTCTTTACAAAATAACTTGACCCAAACCAACGCACTCCTAAATAAAATTTCCATTTCATCATGTTACACCACCACCTTGAAAAAAAGGATTTGGGGGAACAGTGGTCTTGCATATTATAGTAGAAATCATAGTCACAGTCGTATCTTGACAAACCTCGTGCGACGCCCTGAAAAAAAAGTTCAGTCTGTTAGGCATTTAAAGAGAGAGAGAGAGAGAGAGAGATGGGGTTTAACGTCCACTCGACACAAACTAGGTCATTTAGGGACTAACATATGGTTTAATTTTATTTCAATAATTCGCTTGCGCGTAGGGGTCTTTAGCAGTGGGAGGAACCCGGAGGACCCGGAGAAAACCCACGAGGTTGGACAGGCGACCCTACTCCTTGTGACGTTAGGCATTTAAAACAATACTAACAAAAATGGTCGCGTATTTCAGTCAGCTTGTTAACTAGTATTCGAAATAAATAAATTTATTTTCTTACTGTACGAATTTATGTCTCTTACTTGAAACTTATAATGACTCATACTGTCGTATGGCGGGGCGGGGGCGTTAGATCATATGGCGTAGTTCCGACATCCGTCTTGTCCGTGACAAGGAATAGGACCGCCTGTCCAGCCTTGTGGGTTTTCCCCGGATACTCTGGTATTAATTAGGGTTAGGGAACGTGATTGTTGACGAGATTGTGGATTAGGGTTAGAGTTAGCCCAGAATAGCAAACGTCATGATTACTAACACATGAATAGCAAACGTCATGATTACTTACACATGAATAGCAAACGTCATGATTATCACACGCCGGTTTAAACAGTCGTCTATAAGTTGCGAAACCACCACTACATCCATTAGAGAACTTTTTACAGGTTTTTCCATCCACACCTCTTAACAGTTGAACAACCATCAGCACCAAAAATCCCGTAGCTATATATAGATTCATTTCTAAAACACATTACCGAAACTCAAATTTACCATTTGGTTTAAATGGATCTAAAATCAAATTGTCGATTTCATTGTAATTTATATGCTGATTTGTTTTCGAGGGGGTGGGAGGGTCACGGTGGTTAAGTGGGTAAGACGCTGGTTCGCTAGCCTGGAGGTCGGGTGTTCGATCCCTGCATTGGCCGAGAAAGTTCATCCGGATTTTCCGGCGTGATTCCCCCTTGTCAGTGATGCGGCTAGGAGGGGTTGTCAAGGACAGCTGTCTAGTCGTTCGGATGGGACGAAAAACAGGGTTCCCGTGTACACATTGGTGTGTACATAAAACACCCCTTGACAGTTGGAATTCGATATAAGAGTAGGCCGTAGTACCGCTGTCCTGGCAAAATTTCCCTCATAGCACACTGTATGGCGTATGCCCGTCTTCATTAGCCCAGATCGGAGCAGAACAGTAGGACGTTAAACCCCAGTTGAAATTTGAAATACGAGTAGGCTGTAGTGCCGCTGTTAGGGCAAAATATCCCTTAAGCACGTTATATGTCACGTGCCAATTTTCATTAACCCTTCCCGACATCATTAACCCATCCCGATATCATTAACCCATCCCGTCTACCCAGTCGGGGTAGAAATGTCGAACGTTAAACCACATTTCATTTTAAGTGTGAAGGATTGCGTTTTTCGATATTGGTGAATAATGAAAAATAAGCTACTTGTTTTTAGATATTCAGAATTAAAAAAAAACCAGATTTCTGGGATGGATAGAGAACATTTTAATCATGTATATCAACAGAATGTTATACATGAGGATGCCTGAGCAGTGGAATCGCATAAAAACTGCACTTTCTCCTTGTTTTATGATATTGGCAAATGACGAAAAACGAGTATCTCGCTTTATATATTAAGTGAGTACAGTCAATAAAATAAAATATAATAAGTACTACCTTGACTTCTGTCGAGATTCCGGGTCTTTAATCAAATATTTGATATATAATCAGCTTTACCACAAGTGATGCAAGATTCTGTGTGTGAGTTAGTTGTACTTTAAGTCTGATTCCACTTTCCTCAAATTGATCACGTGATGGTTAAAATTATAGATTTTATCTTCCGTTCCTGGAATCTAAAATAAGGACACGGGAAGGTTTAATATCGAACAGTTCCTGGTCAGTGTGGGGACCGACTTTTGACCTGTGACGTCAGACATTTGATTAACCAATCAGCATTGATGTTACTAGTGGATTACCCACATTTCCTATTAAAAAAGGTTAAACACTCGATTCGACAGACCATTTTATTGGCTAACCCCTCATTTCAAGCAGAACACGAGTTAAATAACAAGTCTGCCAGATCCAAGTGTAGTCAAGACAAGTAAAACGAAATTTTGAACTATAAAAACGAAACGAAAAATAGGATCTGTGTTTTAACCAGATTGGAGGAAACGCCAACGCTCATCGAATTATATAACAATTTGTAAATAGCTTCCTTGATAAGACCGAAAAAGAGATTTTGTTTCTAGTTCAAAGAAAATTTATTGAGTAAAATAGGATGATTCATAATTGACAAAATTTCAAATCAGATTGATTACGGATGTAATAAATAGGTCCTGAATGTCATGTGAAATTGTAGCTTGCCAAGAATCCTTGAATATATGATATCACGTGATGATAATAGTATAACGTACAAGGGAAGTGGGGTTGGGGGTGCGAACCACATATATACGATTACACAAGACAAATTTACCTACAAAACACAATATACACCAACACCTCAAGCAACAACCATATATGTCAGACAAAGTGAATAGATAGAGCCGGGGGCCAGCCGTCAGCGTCCACTGTACAATCCTGGGTATATGTAGTGTTACAGGCTTCACGCTAAAACTAATAAAATCACTAAGGGAAGTCACCCATGAAAAATAGGGGAATATTTCCCAAACGTTGTATCATGCTGGGGAGCCACGGTGGCTAGGTGGTTAAGACGCTGGCTCGCTAGCCTGGAGGTTGGGTGTTCGATCCCTGCATTGGCCGAGAAAGTTCGTCGGGATTTTCCGACGTGGTTTCTCCTTGTCAGTGGTGCAGGACGGAGGGCCTGACAAGGGCAGCTGCCTAGTCGTTCGGATGGAACAAAAACTCAAGGTCTCGTGTGCATAATTGGTGTGAACGTAAAAGAACCCTTGACAGAATTCGAAATAAGAGTAGACTATAGCGCCGCTGTCCGGACAAAATTTCCCTTACAGGACACTCTATGGCATATGCCCGTCTTCATTACCCAGTAGGAGTAGGACGTTAAACCCCATTTCATTTCTTTCATAAATAATTCTACCAAATGTCACGTTTGCTATTAATGTTACCGATATAGAGTGTCGAGATCATTTCCGATCCTTGAAGTGTATATATAAGAGTGATTTTAATGAAATCGCAATGAACCACACGCCTAAATTTTGAAACTTGAAACAGCATAGCGAGAGTGAGAGAGAGAGAGATAAATGAGGGTTAACTCCCACTCTACACAAACTAGGTCATTTCGGGACTAAAATATGGTTTAATTTTATTTCAATAATTCGCTTACACGTGACCCTACTCCTTGAAAGAGAATAGTAATTAAAATAGAGAAACACCATACGAACTTCAAATATCGTATCAATTATTTAAATATTTCTTATTTTGCTGTTAGAATGGATAATTGGCGATTGCCGACAGCTTGGGTTTTCTCCGGGTCCCCCGGTTTCCCCCCACTGCTAAAGACCCCTACGCGCATGCGAATTATTGAAATAAAATTGAACCAAATGTTAGTCCCGAAATAAGCTAGTTTGGGTCGAGCGGACGTTAAACCCAATCGCTCTCTCTCTCTCCACAAATCATAGACAAGGACGGGGTTCGACGGCAAAGATACAACCATGACCTACTTGAGTCGAGTGGACGTTATACCACATTTCTCTCTCTTTATAGATTTCGGATCTATTGGTAGATCCAAACCTTAAGGTTAAAATGATGCATTGTACCAGGTCCCCACTGTCGTGCGATGCGTTACGATCGGATTGTTCCTATTTTGTCCACGGTCTGATACGTTCGGATACTTTTCGATACGGTCGACAGGGTTGCTACGACTGTCTTTAATATAAGACCTGATATGATCACCACGATTATCCCACGCTTTTAAACGTAGAACGAATCGTGATAGTGAGCAACTAGCATAAGATATTAAAGTCTCGACTCTGATCATGATCTAACGCAGTAAGTAAGGCTCTGGCATTGTCACTTAAACAGCTGACCAAATGAACAGCCCCGAGGAAGAACGATCTAAGTCACTTTGTCAACGAAACCCAGTTATTGGTGCAACCTGGTAGCAAATTGTATAAGCTTTCTGTGGAACAATCAATTTCAGGTAAAAACGATCGGATTTACATCGAACAAAGGTCCTTCTGAAATGGTCTCCCGGACAAATACGTCCATCGTACCCTTTATTTGACCATAATTTGGCTGAAAAGTGGAAGTCAGTTGTTGTACTGGTAATTATGATTCGTATTAAACATCATTTTGAACTTGTAATTAAACCTGCTCATTGTTCTGTTCGCGTCAAGCATTCTCGTCCAAAAGTCTGTTTTGCCTTTTATACCAAAAGACAAAAATGTGACTTAGATCGTTCTTCCCCTGGACTCTTCAAATATAATGATTTGGTTTTGTAATCCCAGCCGTTCCGTTGTGATCAAACTTTGAGAGGTAATCTTCCAAATCATCTTCCCGGTCAGAGTCTAGTGGTTTAACGAAGATGCATAGGACCGGTCATCGTGGTCATGGATATTGACATTTGAATATAAATTCGGCTCGGGGGGGGGGGGGCTTCCGAACTTGTGATATTCTTCCATCTTCATTTCCATGAAAACTATTGTTTTTGTTTCTACATGGATGGAAATGAAATGAAATGAAATGGGGTTTAACGTCCTGCTATTCTGCTCCTATACTGGGCAAACGTCATACAGTGTGCTATGAGGAAAATTTTGCCCGGGCAGCGGCTCTATCGCCTACTCTTATATTCCAACTGCCAAGGGATCTTTTACGTGCATTCCAAAGTATACACGGGACCTCGGTTTTTCGTCTCATCCGAAGGACTAGACAGCTGTCCTTGCCAGGCCCTCTGTCCTGCATCACTGACAAGGGGGAACCACGCCGGAAAATCTGGATGAACACCCCACCTCCAGGCTAGCGAGCCAGCGTCTTACCCACGTGATCTGTCACAGCTTAAGATTTATATTTGTCTTTCGTTTCTTTCATTTCCATTTGAACTCTGGATTTGAATCAGCGGTACTACGGCCTACCCTTATATCGAATTCCAACTGTCAATGTACCTCACAGCACATTGTATGGTGTATGCCCGCAGAACAGTAGGACGTTAAACCCTGATTGTCCGAAAAATCACGTTTTTAGTTTGTGGACACTCTAAAGGTCACAATTTTTATCCGATTTTGATGAATCTTAAATGTATGCTTATAACCCAAAGATTCACGTATATCGGGCCGCAACATTCTGAATTAGAGCCCCTAATCGCGATTTTAGCTTGTGCACCCTTTAGAGGCTACAACTTTTACCCCATTTTGATGAAACTTAAAATGTATGTTCATATATGTGGGTTCATTTTGATACTTGCGTGTATCGGATAGTAAATTCCTAGATTATGGTCCCTGATTGTACGAAAAATCGCTTTTGGTTTAGCTTCTTATCTGTCCATCTCTTGCAAAATATAAGCGCATGTTGCATGGAAACCACTTGTAACTTGATTTTATTATAACGAAGGGAGAATTTTAACACTGTATTTTAATATGCAATAACTTTGTTTTATTGTCTTATCAATTTTCCATTTTATATTACGCCTTCATATGTAAATAACCTAATTAAATCAACCTGCCTATAATATTATATTACAATGTATTGAACGTTATATTCATAATAAACAACAAAAAAAAAAAAACATTTCGCCGGACATAAAGATGGCAGTAACCCTAGCAGAGATTGATGAACCATTTTTTTTACAATATTATATTTAGTTTTCAAGCGACTATTACAGTTTGTAGAGTGACAATAATGTTTCCCTGAAAGAATCGGTAAAGATATATAATAAATCTATATTTCCTGGAAATTGGATATGCAAACCACCTGTTAGTACAATCATATTTATGTCGATTTCCGCAATTGGTTCGCTACGCCCAAGCAGGATGCGGTGGGGGTGGATTCTTCTTTTATTTGAATTTGCTCATCGATGGCGTCCGCAGTTCTTGTAAAACGGACTATACGATCTTAAATTTGCTGATGTATTACCAATCACATAAAACTTGGTGAAGAGAATATTAAATCGCAACACATGATTGTGGATGTACATTTATGCCTGGTCGTACTTTATTTATTGTTTATTTTATATATAGCATTAAACTGAATTTGTTTCCTATTATTGTAGTGTACACGTTCATATATTCAATATGGCCTTGGTATACCGTGACTCATGCATGGACAATAACGATCGTTAAGCCACGTTTATCTTGGATAACCAATCACGATGAAGGAGGAAAACACTAACAGCCCTAATATAAAATATTGTTTCCGGGAATGACATGAAAGTAACATGTCGACAAGAAGTTGATTGCTAAAACCTTTAGATCTAAAATTAACGACCAAATAAAACTTACTGATTTTATTTCCAAACACAGCTGATGCATATTATATGCTGGGAGAACCCCCCAAAAACAGAATGTACAAAACAACACCTGCGAACAGGTATTTGTGTATAAAACAAACGATAAACTCCGTGTTCAACAGTCTAATTGTTTCACGTACTCTTGCGCTATAGTATACTCAGCCAAATTAAAAACTTGACACTCGGGATTTTTGGGACTAGATTTTTAATATTTGGTTTAAGGCAACTATTTTAGTGTTATGTTGTGCACAGACGACCGTGACATCAACAGAAAGCAAGAATACGTCTCGCCGAAAGTCCTTGACATTGATAACGTTCGTGATGTCACAGTACCCCCCAAAATGAAATTCACAGACTTGGAGAACAATCGGAATAAAGTGTTTAGTAACGGTTGTGGCCTCCTCTAGCGTCTCGTACTGCCACACAACGTCTTCTCATGGATCTCAGAACATTAGTAAACACTACCCGAGGAAGACGTCGCCACTGCTCAGCAAGAGCATGTTGAAGGTCCTGCAACGTCAGTGGTGGATTTTCTTGCTGACGAACACGTCGACCCAGGTCGTCCCAGATGTGTTCAATAGGATTAAGGTCGGGGCTAAGCGACGGCCAATCCAGGACTTGGACACCGGCATTTCTTAAAAAATTCTGGGTAGCAATTGCTGTATGGGGTTGAGCATTGTCTTGTTGAAACGTTAGTCCAGGCCCATGTCTCTGCATAAACGGAAGAAGAACAGGTTGCAAAATCTGATCCCTGTACTGGACAGCAATTAAGTTCCCTTGGACAACAACAAGAGGAGAACGTCCATGTGCACAAAAAGAACCCCAAACCATGACGCTGCCGCCACCAAATCGGCCAACTTCTCTGACGCATACTTGAGCGTAACGTTCACCTCGTCTGCGGTACACTCGGACCCTGCCATCGGCAAATCTCAAAGTGAATCGAGATTCGTCACTAAAGACAACCGAATTCCACTGTCTTTGAGTAAATCTTATGTGTCTTGTGGCCCACACAAGTCGGTTACGGCGATGAAGAGGTGTCAATATTGGTCCATTATAGGGCCTCCGAGCTCGAAGACAAGCAGCCTGCAAGCGATTTCGAACAGTTTGTGCAGTTACCCTTCCACCAAACATCTCTCTACTTGTGGAGGTTGCAGTGACAAATCTGTTTCTAAGATGACGTAATCGTATTGCTTGATCTTCCTGGGCGGTCGGCAATAGTTCCAGTTTGAAGCACTCTCATTCTAAGATTAATTATTGTCTGGCGTGAACAATTAAAGGCTCTTACAACAGTGACCACAGACTGACCAGCATAGAGCCTACCTATAGCACGTAGACGTTCTACATTTGAAAGGCGCGGCATTTTCTAACAAAGATGAAAATAACAATTTTAATGTGTTTTTCCAGTTCAATTTACGTGTGCGTGTTCAGTTTAAGCAAACTTGCATCGATTGACCTCACGAGTTTGTGTTTGCACATGTTTTTCAGGTTTTTCATCTTTATATTCTCAAAAGTCACGTGATCCACGTGACTTTACAATTTTATGAAATTAAAGGCTTCTTACTACTTACTATCGTTAGAAACACTTTAAAATTTATTTGACTTACCAGAAAAAAAAAATTGTTGAAATTCATCAGTGTCAAGTTTTTAATTTGGCTGAGTATATAATAGTATAGTATTATCATCATGCGTGTTATTTTGTGGATTGCAATGGTCTTGACCACTGTCGTGACTTTCTCTGGACCAAGGAGCGGGTGGCCTTGGTCACGATATGGAGGGATGAGGAATCCAAGATGCATCAGTTGTTCAGAGGTAAAAGAGGCCCATTTGTGTGAATCCTGCTGCAAAAGTGAGCTTTTTTTATTTTTAAATATTTATTTTCTTTTTTCAAAGTTTTGTCAGTCTAGATCACACTGTACATGTAGATTACACTGTACAGTTGGACAACAGACACTTAAGGGGTTAGAATTTCTGATTCCTTACATTATCTTGTCTAGCATACTATTGTATATACACCGTATAACACGCGCCATATTGTTTTGATTTGTAAATAAAGACTAGTCTGCAATAAAACGAAAAACGAGTGCTACATGTAATGAGTATTGGGAGATAATTGATATAGAAATGTCTTCACCGAGTCAAAACAATATGGCGCGTGATATGACTTGTATATGTTACAGTATGCTAGACAAGATAATGTAAGAAATTGTAATCTCGTCAACCTGTACTTCAAATCCATGCAAATTTAATGGGGTACCTGCACAATAGTTGATAACGGTTACAGCTGTAGTTGTACTCCTGGGTATCAAGGAGAACTCTGTGATGGTAAGATAGATTGTATGTCGTATCAATAATTTCCCGGAAGAGAGAGAGAGAGTGTGTGTGTGTGTGAGAGAGAGAGATAGATAGAGAGAGTGAGAGAGAGAGAGAGAGAGTAAAATGGGGTTGAACTGATTGTATTTACAGATATACAGATAACTCTTTAGCGAAAAATTACAGATAAAGGTGTTTAATTTTCGAAAACGCACGAGTAGCTAAACCACGTGTTTTTGTTTATCATTATGGTTGCTAAGACCGATTCTTTATAAATAAAATTAAAATATAGTGGAATAGTGAGAGCCGAAATGAAATGAAATGAAATGAAAAGTTGGCCTACTCTTATATTGAACTGCCAAAGGATCTTTTACGTTCACGCCAACGTATACACGGGACCTCGGTTTTTCGTCTCATCCGAACGATTAGATATCTTTCCTTGTCAGTCCCTCCATCCTGCACCACTGACAAGGGGGAACCACTTCGGAAAATCTTTGGTTTTTGACGTTCAATTATCCATTTGGTCAAATATGATGAAAATAATCAAAGAGATTGGTCAATTTAGGCTAATGACGTCGAAACCCACCCTTATATGGAAAATGGAAATATACCGAAGAAACTTCCCACAATATATATGTTATCAACCTAGAATTGAATGTTTAGCACATTATGACTCTTTTTATATAACAATATGTCATTCATTCACTAAGTTGATTTCAGTACATACTACATATATGTCAATCTAATAACTTGCCAAAGATATTAATTAATGCAAAATAATGCCATCATTTTTCTCTATTCCTTGTCTATAAATTTGAAAAAAAATGTCGCAATGACAATATTTTCTGAAATCTGGTTCAATGGTCCGAAATCCTTTTTTTTTCAAAGGGCTGTCAGGCTTTTGACGCATCAAAACTGTTCCCAGTACCCATTAAAATATATTATTGTAAGCAACTTCACATAAATATACCCTTTAAAGATTTTAATTAAATCGATGGTTTCGGGCAGTGGCATACAAGTAACGAACGAATCAACCATTTAAAATTGTCGCCGCTACTTAATTATTTTTCTTCCTTTCAGGTAGTGTTGCATCTATATGCGATCATGCTTTTCGTTCCGTTTCGCCTCGCTCGTACTTGTGCCAGTACGGTCACAAAATTCATTAAAACGAATAAAACTAACGCAGTGGTCCATGGTGAACACTAGAAACATTAGGATTAAACCAGGGAAATGAAATGGGGTTTAACGTCCTACTGTTCTGCTCCGAACTGGGCTAATGAAGACGTGCCAGGGAAAAGTTCACTTGGCGCGCGAGGGGGTAATCTGTGCATGGAGGGTAATCTGTGCCCAACATATATATAGGTTATTTATTACACTTCTGTTTCTATTATTAATCGTTCGAATGCTCTAAATAGGATATACTTAAGCATACATTATGCAAGAGCCTATTGAATGTCTTTCTTTAGGCCTAAAATTTTTATATAAACTATTAATTAGACATTTATTAACACGGAAAGACCTTAATCAACTCTCGATGGCATCTTATGTGTCGAATGTTCATTGAATTTGAATCCGTTCTGCTGCTCAACGCTAATTCATGATTAAATCCAAAAATGGATAACCGAGACTATGTTTTTTTTATCGTACCGACTTTAGTAATGATGATCGAGGCTAGGCCCTAAACTCAGTTCCTATAATCTCCCTTCAGCGTAAAGAAATTTGACGCAAATTTTCAGTATATCCCCTTTACATTATCCAGTTTTTAACTATTATAGCTAGAACTGTCAGCTCTTAATCTAATCTTCCATAATGCATCTTTAGTGACTTAAAACTCTCTCTCTCTCTCTTTCTCCCCCCACCCTCTCTCTCTCCCCCCCTTCTCTCCATTACACGCCTGTTTCTATTATTTACCGTTCTACTTCTTGATCGTTCAGCATATCCCCTTTACATTATACAGTTTTTAACTATTATAGTGAGAACTGTCAGCTCTTAATCTAATCTTCCATAATGCATCTTTAGTGACTTAAAACTCTCTCTCTCTCTCTTTCTCCCCCCACCCTCTCTCTCTCCCCCCTTCTCTCCATTACACGCCTGTTTCTATTATTTACCGTTCTACTTCTTGATCGTTCAGCATATCCCCTTTACATTATACAGTTTTTAACTATTATAGTGAGAACTGCCAGTTCTTAATCTAATCTTTCATAATGCATCTTTAGTGACTTAAAACTCTCTCTCTCTCTCTTTCTCCCCCCACCCTCTCTCTCTCCCCCCCTTCTCTCCATTACACGCCTGTTTCTATTATTTACCGTTCTACTTTTTGATCGTTCGAATGCTCTTAGTAGGATATAGTTAATGACTTAAAAAAACTTATCAAAACTATCCTATGTTGGATGATTTGTCAGATTTTGTACCTTTGTCTACCAAATCATGTTAGAATTTTATCTTATGGAAGCAAAGTTGTATATTGTAAACTATCTTTATTATAGTTAAACCATTCTATTGTCGGAAGAATGATTATACATCGGCATGCCGAGTCTCTACTGGAGATGGCACTTGTTCGGGTGGTGTTTGTCTCAGTAAATATGATTTATATTATAAACAGTGGCTCATTTGTACAACCCGATGTATATATATATGCTATTGACAGTCTGGGATATGATGAATATACATGTAACTGTCAGTGATATGATCATCATGTACTGACAGCCTGATAAAACTCAGAGCCGGTTTCAAATATTATAAGACATATTATCTGTGTTTCGAAACTAGAGAGAGAGAGAGAGAGAAATGGGGTTTAACGTCCACTTGACACAAACTAGGTCATTTCGGGACTAACATATGGTTTAATTTTATTTCAATAATTCGCTTGCGCGTAGGGAGGAAACCGGAGGACCCGGAGAAAACCCACGAGGTTGGACAGGCGACCCTACTCCTTGTCACGTACAACCGGGGATTCGAAACCACGCCAGTCGACTCAATGACAGACTTTATGATACAGCGCGCGCACGCTAACCATTCAGCCATCCAACCCCCCCGTTTCGAAACTAACACTGTAAGATCAATAATAAAACTTATATAAGAACACCGCTTTCTAATCAGACTATTGACCAATATTTGATCTTATAAAAGGTAGTTGGGTCGCCGAGTGGTCTAGCTCAAATGTTTTAGGTTATATGGCCTGTTATCCATGCAAGCAGTTATTGCTTTGATCATCTGTAATACCTGCCGGTTTGAAGAAAAGCGCACAGTGTTAGTCCCAAGAGGAGATAATAATAATAATAATGAAAAAATTATTTAATGAGGCAACTTATTTAGTTTACAAAAAACTAATCTTCCCTCCTAAGCTACAAGGACATATATATACATGTAATATCAGGATTGTTACATGTAATATCAGGATTGTTACCCCACCCCCTTCCTTCACCTGGACTGTACATATGTGTTGATAGATAGTTTGATATTATTATATATAATGATATATTACTTATATTTATAGTGTCATGTGTGCTAGACAAGGATTGTCGAGGTCAACCATGGGTTAGTGGATACTGTGCACGTAAATATTCTCTTTATAATCACCCTTTATATTATATGATATGTATATATCACCCATCAATATGACTTGATTTCTATATAAGTATATTTAACGTCTTTATTTAAATAAAACAGAGAAGACACGACTCGTCATGATAACAAACAGCAGGTTATAACTTTGAGTACATTCACCCAATAACGTTATTTATCATCTAACATGTGTTTCTTAGTATGATGGCAACGTCGATCACCTGTTTCAACCCATGAAAATAATATACTGTAAACTAAAACATTTCTAACGAATTGTATTTTCTTTTTATACACAGTAAGTCCATTTTCTGGCCATGAACGAGTTTCCTGATGACTTATGGCGGCTTGTTTATTGATTAATAATATAAACCATATTTTGTATTTTTCAGATGTTAAATGTGGAGAATCATTTTGTTTTGGGTAACCAAATCAGATTATCTTATGTTATATCCACTGTATAGTGAACAACTATTACTCAATACAATAAAATAAATTGATATATTTAACCATTGATATAAGGTTTAATATAATAAACTATATTGTAATATTTAACATAATTGTTCTTTCTTTATAAATTATAATTATAAGCCAACAATATATTAATCTTAACCAAGAACTACAATATAATAATAAGTACTTCCTGAAAACAACTAGATACCAACAAGTACAAGATATTAAAATATATACAACTGGCGGTAGTTTTTGCTTTGGTATGCATAGAACATTCCAACTCGTCATGACGTCATCATAGGTTGATATATTCGGTTCATATCAACCTCTCATGACGTCATGAATGACGTCATCTCAGGTTGATATATCCGGTTCATATCAACCGCTGATGAAGTTGATGATCAAAATAATACAAAGAACACAGAAATCAATTTTTATTCTTTTGACAATTAAAACATTTTAAGGTACAATTTGTAGCATTCAGCACCGAAATAGACGGCGTACTTTTCGGCATATTTATATAGGTTATCCATGTCTTAGATATCTTTCAGAATGTTCTTTTCGTCCACATTTAGATTATTTCTCCACACACTCCAAGACTTGAAAGTATCTATAGACCAAGAGTTCCTTTGTAAAGTATTTTTGAGTACAGTCCACGTAACACAGTCGGTCAAGTCCTTCTCTGAACACACCGAAAACCTTCAAAGTTCACTGATCTAAATTTTCTTCAGCCCTTTCACTAGAAACTTGTAGATCTTCGTCGGAATTTGCATTCGCATCTACTCCACCGTCAATCTGTTGGCTAAAAAGACTTAATTATTTGTCTGATAACGTATTACTCTCCATTTTGATTTTGCTTTCAATTTAATTGAACCTATAGTTACTCCAAAATGGAGAGAGAGAGAGAGAGAGAGAGAGAGAGGTGTGTGTGTGTGGGGGGGGGGGAGGGGTGTTAACGTCCATTCGACACAAACCAGGTCATTTCGGGACTAATATATTGTTCAATTTTATTCCAATAATTCGCTTGCGCGTAGGGGTCTTTAGCAGTGGCAGGAAACCGGAGGACCCGGAGAAAACCCACGAGGTTGGACAGGCGAAAAATGGCAACAAGGTAGATGGTTATAAACAATAACATTACACACGCATTCACGTGATTTGGATTCCGTAATTTTCGAGCAATTATCTAATCAATGTTGACTTTTAATGGAAGAGTCCATTTAATTTAAGGGCGATCAAAACTATAACATTGTATATGTAGGATATAAACCTTCTCTCCATCGGATTGATATGATAGAGAACACGCGGGCGAAGCGAGTAGGTTAATATCCTATACTACCTATACATACAGTGGCGGCGCCAGCCGTCGGTGATTGGAGGGGCAAAACTGGGGCAAAGTCTAAGGTTAAGGAGGCAAAGGCACGAGCTTCAACTAGGGGTAGGGGGCCTCCCCCAGAAAATTTTGAAGCACAGGTTGCCGGAAATGCAGCCTGGCAGTATTTCAGGCACTGATCGATGAGGTAAAGTGTCAAACGAACGGACTTGCGAATCACGACGAAGCCCACTCACGAGCGTCAAAGTAGGGAGTCCTCCCCCCAGAAAATTTTGAAAAATAGACTGCCCGAAATGCTGTCTTACAGTATTCCCAGGCACCGATCGTCGAGATAAATAGATCTGACCAGATACCGTCCGTCGCCTGATCACTAGTTTATCCGACTAGAGAACAAAATGTCAAACGAACGGACTTGCGAACCTCAACGAATTCCCCTTGTGAGCGCCAAAGTAGCGAGTCCATTGGGGACCTCGCCAAGACAATTTTGAAAAATAGACTGTCGGAAATGCTCTACAACATGCAAGTTTATGACTGAGTGGGGATGTGGGATTTATTCACCGTAGAAGGTATTGATTACCGAAACGTATCACAAATACTTTTTTTATTTTCTAAAATTATTGGGGGGTGGGGGCAAACAGAGGACAGACCAGATTAATGCCCCCCCCCCCCCCGGCGCCGCCACTGATACGAGGTAGAACTTAATTTAAACAAGCCTGAATCGGAGTAAAGTTCTCACGAAGATTAAAACAAGTTCTATTTTTCAACAAACGTTTTAATAAATATTCAAATATTCAAATAGCCAATAGCAAAGAGTTCGAAATCGGATTTGGCTACTCTTGTAAAATCATAATGGTAAAACAGCAATAGAAGCCTTAAAACGTTGATCTAGGCAACAAACGGTGACATGACGATAGCTCCGGTCAAAATTCAAAGTCCGTATCGTCAAAACGCCTCAAACAGTCGTACGAGACAGTTATGACATGAAGTAGTAATAAATCCGTACCGGTTCACTGCTGAGCGAAGGTTACAAGCAGCCTGGGCCATGATGATTCTCGAGAATCCCAAGATGACATCTATCCGTGTTGACTGGAGCGAGTGCGTTAACCACGTGACGACGTCACATCACGCCAAAAACTGGTCGACGTCGAGTTAAACAACAAATGGAATGAAATGAAATAAGGTTTATCATTCTAATGTTCTGCTCCTACCGGACTAATGAAGACGGGCATATGCCATACAGTGTGTTATGAGGGAAATTTTGCCCGGGCAGCGGCACTATTGTCTACTTTTATATCCAATCCCAACTGCCAAGGGATCTTTTAAGTGCACTCCAATGTATACACGGGACCTAGGCTTTTTGTCCCATCCGAATGACAAAACAGCTGTCCTTGTCAGGCCCTTCGTCCTGCACCACTGTACAATACGGATGGACGATATCTCCTAGCTGACAAATATACTAATTACGTAGGTACGTAACACTGCAAGCCACATACTCTCACAACAGGGATTGAAACCACCCCCGTAAATGGCCAGCTAGAGATTGACAACGCGGCATACTAGACCCCCCCCCCCCCCCTACCAACGCCAGAGAGAGAGAGAGAGAGAGAGGAAATGAAATGAAATGAAATGAATGGAGTTTAACGTCCTACTGTTTTGCTCCAAACTGTGCTAATGAAGACGGGCATACGCTATACCGTGTGCTATGAGGGAAATTTTGCCCGGACAGCGGCACTACGGCCTACTCTTATATCGAATTCCAACTGTCCAGGGATCTTTTACGTGCACGCCAATGTGTACACGGGACCTTGGTTTTTCGTCTCATCCGAATCACTTGACAGCTGTCCTTGTCAGGCCCTCCGTCCTGTATCACTGACAAGGGGGAACCACGAGAGAAAGAGAGAGAGATGAGTACTTCTTCGTCTATTAGTCTTTAACGTCCGCTTCCACTGATGATGATATCAGAAAACTTTTGCCTTCTCTTGATTATGGTTAGCGCATTGAGAAGGCGCCCATATTCCCAAGCCACATACGCTCACATCAGGGATTGAAACCAAGCCCTGAAGCCAGATGTGGCCGGTCAACCAGAGTTCGAAGCGCGACACCCTAGACCACTAGCCCACCCCCTTTCCCAGGTAAGTTAGCTGACGTCAACCTGCTTTCGGATTGGTTAACATGGTGTTGGGTTTCAAACTTTGTCGTTGGTCAACATGTTACCGAGAAGTTGATAGGACCGCCTTCGGTCTCGACCATGTGCACCCGAGAGAGAGAGAGAGATAGAGAGAAATGGGGTTTAACGTCCACTCGACACAAACTAGGTCATTTCGGGAACTACCATATGGTTTTTAATTTTATTTCAATAATTCGCTTGCGTCTAGGGGTCTTTCTTTAGCAGTGGGAGGAAACCGGAGGACCCGGAGAAAACCCACGAGGTTGGACAGGCGATCCTACACCTTGTCGAAACCACGCCAGTGCAGTTGACTCAATGACAGGCTTTATGATACAGCACGCACATGCTAACCATTCAGCCATCCACCCCCCCCCCCCCAAACGTTCTGGGAATTTGTCTCCAAAGAAAATTGATCTGGTCATATTAAAGTTTTTGGAAAGCAAACTTGCGTTTTTGTCAAGTAAAAGATTTTGTGTCCATTTCGACGACAATGGTCGAACTAGCTTCCGTTCGGGTGCGGTGCACTATACTTTGTCGTATAGTCGTGACCAGGAACACCCGAAGGCTGCCCAGTGTGTTCAATATCAAATGCACGTGCGTTTGTAGTTGACTACACGTGCAGGCTGAAATCGAGTGGTTTATTTTACATAATACTCGTGTGATGACAACAAGGTGATATTTGTGAGGTAATTATTACATTTCCTTGTTATGGTTTATATACACCGTAAATGATGCGACATTGGCGTTAGTAGGGTAGCTGCCGAGAACATTCGTGCGACACGACATGCTTGTGGTGCCATGGATCAGAAGAATTGAGGCGAATCCTTAAAGTTTTGTATTTGTCAGTTCTCCCGTCAAAAGGCAAAACCTAGTAACTCACTTTTTTCTTATTTTGAGAAAACAAAGGAAAACGGAATGAATGAATATTAAACCCCAGCTCATCCATTGATTTGACTATTGAGTTATTAGATTTTGCTGTGGTATACTAGGCAAATGAAGGAAGTTGCTAGGTTGTGTCATGGGTGTAACTGCTTACAAAATCAAAAGATTGGAATATCTAGTACAACAGGAAGCACATACCCTAGTAACTACGAATTTGGTCCTAACTCAATTTTGATAAAAAAAAGTGAGTTACTAGGTTTTGCCTTTTGACGGGAGAATTGGGAAACCGCAACATTGCCAAGGTTCTTCCTTGGGTATGGGTGGGTTGAGTGGTCTATGGTTTGTCAATGAGTCAGGTGGCGTGGTCCAATCCCTTGTTTGTACCTGACAAGCACTAGGACCGCCTGCCCAACACCGTGGGTTTCTACAGACTCCAACGTGTAAGCGAATTTGTAATATAAAGTTGTACCATGTGTTAGTACTTAAATACCCAAGTTAGTGTGTCTGTTATCGCCCCATTTCCCGGGTTGTTTTACCTACACGTCAATGTCTACACGGAACTGCGTTTTGTGCTATTAGACTATGGTCCTTACCGTTCTGTGTCAATGGCAAGGAACTTAACCTCTCCCCCAAATTCTTAAACCTAACAGTAATCCAAGATCTAGCCCTGCAGCCCACAATCCTCGGCAACAACCATGTGCCCTAACCCTGTTTACATCTCGTGACCCCAGGTAAATATGCGTTTGGCCATGTCAAAAAGATCTGGCCATAGATTGGGTGCCCCATGTGCCGAAAATTTTCCCTACTATAAGTGGTAGTCGGTGAATGTGCACGCTTCAGTGACTTGTCTCGAAGTGATTTCTGGCTAGTCACGCACTCTCTTTGAGTCTATAAATAGCCATCGCACTTCAAATTCTTTACACATCTATCAACTATTACAACCGTAAATAATCTATTGTTGATGATTCTGAATAGCAGTAATATTTAGCTTTTTGGTTGTTACAGCAGCTTTAGAAATTACGTTCGTTTTATTTTTCAAATTGCTTTATCATTAACCTATACCGTTAGGAGCGGCATCTTTTGTTTAGTACAAATAATACCTCTGAAACACTCGGCTTAGACAGGGATATGATACTAGCAGTAGTTTCGTTTAACTTTTATAACTTTTATAAGGTTCTTAAAACATTTGTTGAGTTGGCTACCGTGCGTGTATCTAAATTCAATATCTTGTTCCAGCTTTCTGATATGTTTCGTAAAAAAAGTAGTCTTGATTATCCCGGCCTGTCAATCAGACGGAGAATGGTCGGTAGACTATTTAAGCGAGACTAATTTCAAAACAAGGGCACGTGACCTATTTTTTCCTCAAACGTACCTGGATGGATGTTATGGACGACACTCGGAACCATTTTTCAGTGTATTATTTATCGATGATTAAATGGTCATAGCTTATTAAGTACAACATGGCAGTTTATTTAGTGACTATAAATCTGCCAAATAGATTTAAGGATTGGTATATATATATATAAATATTGTGTAATTGTCGAGCTATGTGGAGATATTTATTTATGGTGGGGCACCCTACCATAGAAGACAAGTACAGGATTGTACAAAATACGGCAACACCACACACCACTGTCTTCATTAGCCCAGTCGGAACAGCGGAACAGCACAGTAGGACGTTAAACCCCATTTCATTTCATTTCATTACTCCCAACTGGTAAATTATGTTTTTGTTATATTTTTAGAAATGTATCTGGTTATGGTTTTATTGTCCCTGTTAGCCGTTCTACTGATCGGATTTGCAGAAGGACAATCCTGTGACAGCAGGTTCTCCAAGGGATGCAACTCCAATATCTTATCAGGTTACAAACGGAATTTTAAATCGGCTTGTAATAGACATGATGTTTGTTATTCCTGTGTAAGTAACCAGCTTATATAAAGGACTTAAAAATGTTGGGGGGGTGGGTCCGAATGGTTAGCACGTGCGCGTTGTATCATAAGGCCTGTCATTGATCAACTGGCGTGGTTTCGAATCTCCGGTTGTACGTCACAAGGAGTAGGGTCGCCTGTCCAACCCCTTAGGTTTTCTCCGGGTCCTCCGGTTTCCCCCCACTGTTAAAGACCCCCACGCGCAAGCGAATTATTGAAATAAAAAATTAAACCATATGTTTGTCTCGAAATGACCTGGTTTGTGTCGAGTGGACATTAAACCCCATCTCTCTCTCACTTCAAAATGTTGGCCAAGACAGTTCCTCGGGATTTTCCGGTGTGGTTTCCCCACTTTTGTTCGTCCCAACCTAACGACTAGACACCATTTCTTGCCAGGTCCTCTGTCCTGAATCACTGACTAGGGAAGACGGTGTCTAAGTGAGTAAGACTCTGACTCGCTAGTCTGGAGGTTGCGGGTTCGCTCGAGAAAGTTCATTGCGATATTCCGGCGTGGTTCCCCCTTGTCAGTGTTGCAGGAATGGGGGCAACGTATAGCCTTTCGGATGGGGATAAAACCCAAGGTTACCTCTACACATTGACGTGCACGATAAAGATTCCTTGGCAGATGGAAATCGATATAAGAGTAGGCCGTAGTGCCGCTGTCCGGGCAAATTTGCCCTCATAGTACACTGAATGTGTTATGAGACAACTTATCATCAAAAGCCACGTCATCAATGAATATTGATCGACATCCTAATTGGTGTCATCTGTCTGTGCCCCTCCGCGCTAGCGAATTATTGAACCATGTTACTCCCGAAATGATCTAGTTTGTATTAAACCCCATCTTTTATTGAAATAAAATTGAACACTATGTTAGTCCCCAAAATGACCTAGTTTGTGTCGAGTGGACGTTAAACCCCATCTCTCTCTATCTCCCTCTCCCTCTTCTCTCTCTTTCTGTGACGTTTGCAGTAGCCTAAAATCTATTTCAGACCAGTTTGACAGTGAAGGCCGACGAAATTATAAAAACAAAGAAACGAACTTGGATTTTTCTATTCGCAGACAAGTTGTCTTTTATTATCTTAGCGCACGCGCCAGGGTCTTTCCCCTGGAACGAAACCGGAGTACCACGGGGTTGAGAAGGCGCCCCTATCTTCAAGCAACATACGCTCACACCAGCGATCGAAACCACGACCGCAAGCCACAGGTGACCGCCCAGCTAGAGCTCTAAGTGCGACACCCTAGAAAACACCCCACCCCACCCCTCAATGCCCAAATAAAGTTTTTACCCTTTTATTTGTAGGGCGCCGATAGAGGAGTTTCAAGATACGAATGCGACTATGCTTTCTACTACGATATGGATGACCACTGCGGCAGCCGTTCCTACTTCTCACGATTTTGGTGCCGCATTATGAAGAATCAATTTTATTACGAAGTTCGGTGGTTCGGTGCAAGTGTGTATAACGATACAGTTGGGGAGTATTGTGATGAATATTGGGTGGATGCTTGCATGCCATAGATCGTTGCCGTTTGTTCACTCTACCAAACAAAAAATTGTCGATTTGAGGGTGTTGTACATAAGGCAGGATATGCTTACACTGTCTATCTAGAACACCGGCTACCACTTCTCGTTTGATCTAGATAATTGTTGTAGTATTTTTGAAACTATGTAATAAAAATATTTCTCAATTAAATTTATTATGAATTTATCGAGAGAACGACATCCGCCTATAAACATCTTCTTCCATTCAGTTCTATATTCAGTTTCTAAAGACTGATATATTCACAAGGTTCAGTAAGCGATTAAAGGCTCAATACCACTCTTGTTGTAATTGAATAATATGTCCCAATCTAGATTCTGGTCAACAAATTGTACTATTTTACAATATTCCAATTAATTGATGATACAAATTTCATCTTAACACATCTAATTTAAAAAATTGGAAAAATTCAACTAAATGATTTGAAAAGCCTGACGTAAAGCTTTTCAAATGTGACTTGGATTTAAAAATATTTTTGGACAAGTAAAATAGGATTTAATGGATAATTTACACAACAGGTAGGAAACTAACACATCTAGTACTTAGAATAAGGCTATTTTTTATTTTCTGGAGCTGTCAAGCCAGCAAGAGTGTTATTGTCCCTTTAAATTTTGTTTCTGATATATATATAGGTTTTGAAATACACATGAGTGTCGAACATCTGGCGGTCATCTTGAAATCTAATGTGGCAGCCGTTTGACGGAATTTTTGATACCTCCATAATCTTCAGTTGTTTCTCTGTTTGTAATGAAAAGCATTCGGCCAAGAGTTTACATTGATTAGATGACTTCCCCAAATACTTCCCTAAGGATGGGCGGTTTGGGTGGCTGAATGTTTAGCGTGCGCGCGCTGTATCATAAAGTCTGTCATTGAGTCGACTGGCGTAGTTTGGAATCCCCGGTTGTACGTGACAAGGAGTAGGGTTGCCTGTCCAACATCGTGGGTTTTCTCCGGGTCCTCCGGTTTCCTCCCACTGCTAAAGACCCCTACGCGCAAGCGAATTATTGAAATAAAATTAAACCATATGTTAGTCCCGAAATGACCTAGTTTGTGTCGAGTGGACGTTAAACCCCATTTGTTTCTCTCTCTCTCTCTCTCTCTCTCCCTAAGGATGATAACTCCGATAAATAGTTGAAGCTGTTCTTTTAATAAACGAGTTTCCCAAACTGACAAAGGGTCACGATAATGAAAGGTATTGCTACGAAGATATGTTATAACAACCTCTTCATTCAAACCCCCCAGTAGATTTCGTACATGATTACATATAAGACTGGATAATCTAGCCAATGAAGTTGGTAATCTAAAATCTTGACAACTCACCCAGACTAATATTGTACAAGTGGTCTTCCTGTTTTGTGTCTCGAATATTTCGTGGTTGAATAAATGAAAACAGAAATCGAGTTGGTTTTTGGTATTTCTATATTCTACAAGTAATCAACATAAATTACAGTTCGCAATTAATGTTAATAATCTTGGTAAAAAATGCTTAATAGTAGATAAACTCCAATATGGATATGGGAATTGACTTGGAGGGGGGGGGGGCTATCCGAAATTTTTTATTCTGAAATGTTAAAGCTATTGAATTGAAAATAGTACAAGTACTTAGGAAATACAACAAACAAGAGAAAACTTGCATTTAAAAAAAGTTGTTGCCAGGGAAACACATGTTTTGGGGAAACAATTATGAAAAATGTAGGTACACTATATCTCTGTAACTAATACAGATATCTTCATCATTAAAAAATAAGCAGTCTGAAAATGAGACATTTATGCCAGAGATATAGTGTACCTACATTTTTCATACGTTTTCCAAAAATATGTGTTAACCCTGGCAACAACTTTATTTTCTTTTTTTTAAATGATAGTTTTCCTATGTTTATTACATTTCCTAACTACTTGCGCCATCTTCAATTCAACATCTTTAGAATTTCAGAAACCATTTTTCGGGTAGAGCCTCACCCCATAAACGTGTCTCCAAATATCTAAATACGTGACACATGTACATAAAGTTTGTCCTTAGGAATGTGATCTGAAGTTGATCTCCTAATGCAATGTTTGTAAAAAAAAGTTTTCCATGGCTGACTCGTGTTGTTTTATATATGGAGAACTATGACATTAATCTTATAATCTATCATTATATAAACAAACAATATGGTCACTAAAACGATTTAGCCAGTAGATATATAAAATGTTTAAAACAAAGGCTACTGGAGAAAGGCGATTAGGGACATATAACAAAACATGGAATACAATAAGATACGATTAAAAGGACTAATTAATGGAACTAAACCTCTAACTCAGTATTGTTCATAATATTCCAAATTAAAAACGCGAATTACAATTAAATCTTGGTCCATTTTAATAATATTAATGTTATCTTGCCGTGAAAATATTGGACCCCAATATTCAATTTTAAGACACCGTGAACATTTTAAAATCAGTACACGAGTCGTGTACTCTATGGTTTTGGACGCCATTTGTAATTAACTAAGACAAAGCAGCGAAGAAGTAATTAGTTGATTCACAAACAACAAAATATTTTTTTTTTTAAATTTGTAGAATGCACTAAGCAGGCGTAAACATTATCGTTCAATTTGGACTTATAAGGTATTTCACAGAACATAATTGATTAGAAATTATAATATATTCATTCATATTACATTAATGTGTGTTTTATACTTATTTTCGTCTATTTTAAGGTTGCAAATAATAGAGCCATATGCCCTTTAAGATCCATAATGATCTATTAAAATAATGACCACCGAATTAAAGAAACATTATGGGAGATTAGATAAAGAGCTGGCAGTTCTCACTATAATAGTTAAAAGCTAGATAATGTAAAGGCAAGTTGCTGAAAATTTCATTCAAATTGATCCACTATGAACCGAGAACTAAGCGGCTAGCCTTGATCATCATTACTAAAGTCAGTACGATAAACAGCATAGTCTCGATTATCCATTTAATCGTTAAATCGTGAAGGAAAGTTATGCAGTAAATCGGCTCATAATCCACTAAAGTTCGCAGGCTAGCGCTGCCATCTAGAGTTGATTATGGTCTGGATAGGTTAATTAATGTCTAATTAATAATTTAGATAACATTTCAGGCCTAAAGAAAGGCCTGCAAAAGACAGATTTAGCTCTTGCATAATGTATGTTTAAGTAACACTGTTACTAATGGGCCGAGTTCACAGACCGTGAGAATAATAATTGTCTGGATTAACTGAAATTAGCCCTTCAACAATATTTAGAGAATATGTTAGAGACTACAGTTCGATAAGCCAATATATCCAGTCGACTTTGAAGTTTTTATTCACCCTTCCACAATATTCAGAATATTTGTCTGGATGTTAGAGACTATACGCTATAGGTCGAGAGGCCACTGCATAGTTTTTACTCGTCCTTCCACAATATTCATTGAATATTTGTCTGGATGTTAGAGACTATACGCTATAGGTCGATAAGCCACTGCAATATTTATATCTATATCCAGTCAACTTTGACGTTAGTTTTTATTCGGCCTTGTACAATATTCAGAGAATATTTGTCTTATGTTAAAGACTATAAGTCGATAGGCCATTGCAATATTCGTATATATCCAGTTGACTTTGAAGTTAGTTTATTTGCATAACATGTTAGTAACAAAAAACAAAATCATGCTAAATATGAATATAAAAATGCAACGACCTTAGTCATGGATGCAATCCCAAACCCCCTGGCGATAGCAGGAACTCGTTGACCTTGTTGAAAAAGCCGAATCCCCATATAGTCTAGACGCATTGTAGTACATATTTGCGTTACCAATGCACCTCGAACGAATCGAACCTCCACTATAAGAAGAATTACAATAATTCCTCATATTGTTAAGAAATATTTGATCGCAGCTTGACCTTGACACATCACGTGTATATCCCTGAAAATATAAATCGTAATCAATATTTAAATATTGATCACCAACAGTAATCATACTTTTTATGTTGACCCTCGTCAAACTGCGGTTTATCACCCAATAACACACTCTACAGTAGATATTGCTTGTGTGATATATTTCATAATCTACTGCGATATATCCTAAGGAAGGAGATATCGCTTTACATAATTTTGATTTGTCAATTAAAAAAGAACTACTTTTTTGTATTTTCAAAGAACAGTTCATTTTTTATTAAAAGTAACTTCTTTTTTTGTATTGCTATTTAATTGCCCTTGATGGAAACACTGCGTCAGTATACAACACTTTCCAATTCTTGAATTGCTGTCAAAAAATGATGTATCACTACGCCATAATGTAATCAGATTCAGTAAAAGTGAAGTCTGTAGCAACGAATTATACTTTCTTTTTTATTTGTGCATGTAAGAAAGATTGGGTGATAAATAAAATCCCGTCTTCTTGATATCAGACAATATCATCACTCGTTGATAAAGTAAAAAAAAAAACAAAAAAAAAACTGGGAAGAGCCTCGGTCTTATTTTTAAATAATCGACTTGTGTTGATATTTTCTGAAATCAAAAAAGACGAGTAGGAGAATTTCTATAGAGCCCTACAGAAGAGCGCATCTTCCATGGCAATTGCGTGTTAGTTTTATTTTAGAATGGGTGCCATTTTTAAAGATGCATTATGGGAGATTAGATATAGAGCTGACAGTTCTCACTATAATAGTTAAAAACTAGATAATGTAAAGGGAATTTGCTGAAATTTCAGTTAAATTGATTAACTCCGAACCGAGATTTTAGCGATTGAATTTTCGGCCTAGCCCTGATCATCATTACTAAAGTCGGTACGATAAAAAAACCCCAAAAACAGTCTTCCATTAAATCATGAATGGAAGCCGAACAGCAAATCGGAACCTAATCCAATAAACATCGCATAGACTTCTGGTCTTGATCAGTTAATTAATGTCTAATTAATAATTTAGATAACATTTCAGGCCTAAAGAAAGACCTGCAATAGGCAGATTTAGCTCTTGCATAATGTATGTTTAACAAAGTTCCGAATATTATGTGTTTTGGAGATGAGAATAGAAACTAAATTTTCCACAAGAAGCCATGGGTTTTCGGAATATAATCTTGGCTTGCAAATGTGGAAAGGGTAAACAAAGGGTGTTTAGATCTATTTCATGGAGCCTTCAAATAGACGAAAATGAATTGTTAATTAGTTAT